TCCGCTTGCATTGTTCTGTGTGAAAATGTAAGCTCTAATTTTACTTGTGCTTGACTTCAGCGTTACAAAAAAAAATCACCACGATGTGATTTTATTTTTGTGCTCAATTATTTCAATTTTCTTTGATTTGTAAATTTGCCTCAGGAAACAAAATTCCTTCTAAAATGAACAATAGCAATTGATTTCCTCTTGTGCTCAATCTAGCTATTCAGGAAAGAAAACACTTGGAGATGCTTATGGTCTACAAAATTGTATTTACTGTTTGATTAACATAACTGGTAATAAATCATAAATACTAACTTATTGGGGGAAATATGAATTGTGAATAACAAAAGGCAACATTCTCCTACTATTGTGTATAAAGAACTTAATTTAGATCCTTAATCTATTTAAAATATGTTGGGGTAATTTAGTGTTTCTCTGAGGTCTGCTTATTTTGGGGGGTGAGCTTTTCCAACCCAGGTAAAGTCAGGAGAACAGTGTGTGTGAGAGTCATTCAAGGTAACAGTCAGAAATGTGTAATTCTCACAGAAAATAAATAACAACAGGAGCATGATTGATATCGACCAAAAGATCACTTAATCCTTCGGATGTTTGTTTTTATTTCCGTGGCTAGATAGACACATAGGCTCATGGAATTTTAGAAGTGCAGATGATTTGAGGAATGTTTATTGTAGGCCTGATAAATTATAATCATTGGTATCAAGGGTTTTAAAGACATTGAAAGTCCAATTAAAATCAGATTACTTCTGAAAGTACAATTTAAAAAATGTTTCTTTGGAATTAGGAACATGTTATGAAACAATGTAATAATGTTGCATTCTCTAGCCAAGCTTCAAAGCATGCTTAAATAATATAAATGTGCCTGAAATCGAGGGCACCATCGCCCGGAGTCTGATGCCCCTAAGCAGGAGCTACCTGCCCGCTCCTTCCGTCCATCAAGTGTATCACAAGGGACTGAGAAAACCCAAATAACTACATCATAGAATTGACTTTAAAACTAGTCGGGGTTTCTAAAGATGTCATATGGTTTTCAACTGAGTTGTTTTTCAAGGAGCTAGCAAAAACTAATCAAATCAGTTTGATATTGTGGTAGACTTGCTGTCGCTGGTTCAATCCAAAGTGTTTGGTTCACTTTCTTCCTAATAGTTTTCCTTAGTTTCCAAAATCCCTGCCCACTGGTGCAGCTAAGGTCTGGTTCATTAAATGCTTTCTGCTAAGTAGCCACGCAGTGACCCCCTTCTTGGTACAGGACTGCGCGGTCCCCATCAGAATGCCCAACAATTCAGAACTCCCTAGCAGCTGCATTTTTTAACCTTCTCATCTTCAGCCGCAAGTGCAGGCGATGACCGCCTTTTGAAGTCCTATTGAACTCGTTGACTTCCATTAGAGGGAAATCAGTGGTCGCAAACGTTACAGTCTAGATTAGATCCTTGAAGAGTCTGGACGATGTACAAAAATGGAAAGAGACACGCAGAGGACTTTTTAGGGTTTGAAATCTCTACGATCAAAATGTCTTTGTCTTTGATGCTTTATTTGAATGCTTTATCTTGATTTATCGTGGCACTTCAGAAATGCTTCGCAAGTAAAGAAAACGCAGATATTTGGTGCTAGGGATGTCCTGTAAATCTCAAGAATACCTAAAATGATCTTTCCTTACTAATTTGTAACATTTGCTTGGTATTGATTTGGAAACATTCATAACACTACCACGAGGATGCATCTTTACTAGTGATGATATATGTTCATGTCACTACATTGAAGAATTTCTTGTCTCACTTGCCAGATTGTAAAACTGTATCGTGGACTGTACAGAAAAGAGAACACTCTTAACATTCATAGATCCAAAGGGACAAATAAAGACAGAATGGAAATACGAATGGTCTAACTTGAACATGGGCAAGTCTTTTCTATAAAGAGCCAGAGAGTAAATAGTTGGACCTTGCAGACCCTGAGGTCTCTGTCTTAGCTTCCTAAGGCAAGAAGTATGAAACCAGGGTGTTGGCCGGGCCACACTCTCTCTGGAGTTCCAGGGACGGATCTGTTCCCTAGCTTCTGATGGCTGCCGGCAACCCTTGGCATTGCTCAGCTTGAGGCTGCATCCCTCCCATCTCTGCCTCCACCTTCGTGTGGTCCGCTTCCCCGTGTGTGTGCCTGTCTCTGTATACGAATCTCCCTCTTCTGTCTCTCATTGGATTTAGGGCTCACCCTCAGCCAGCATGACCTCAGCTTAATTTGCTTATGACTTCAAAGACCGTATTTCCAGGTAAAGCCACAGTTGCAGGCACTAGGGATTAAGACTTCAGCTTACCTTTTTGGGAGTCACACTTCCATTTCCTACGGTCCCTGTTACAACCACCCAAAGCTGTCTTTGTAGCATGCACATTGCCAAGGACAACACATAAGGAAGTACATGTGCTGCGTTCCAGTAAAACTTTATTTGCAGAAGCAGGAGATGGGTCAGATTTGCTGGAAGACTACAATTCAGCAGTCAGTGCCTGGCCTAATTAAGTGAAGCAAAATCGCAGCAGACATACTTTTAGAAAATATAGTTTTCCCTTGCTTCACGTCCATCCTGTGGCCTGCGGGCTGCATGCAGCCCAGGATGGGTATGGATGCAGCCCAACACAAAATTGTAGATTTACTTAAAACATGAGGTTTTTTGTGTTTGTTAGTTTGTGTACTTAACCTGTGGCCCAAGACAACTCTTCTTCCATTGTGGCCCAGAGACACCAAAAGGGTTGGACACCCCAAAGTATAAAACTGCACATATACGTGTATATATAGAAACACTTATTTTAAAATAAGGTGTCAACTTGGAACAAAATGAAAAACGGAACTTATGTAGGGATCTAAATCCTAAAGCTCTGTTCCTGAAAAGGCTGGAATTATAATATTTTTTATATAATATCTGGTTTAATACCGAGCTTTTGGTGATCACTCAGGTATTGTGGTCTACATGGACTTTCAGCCAGTGAGATGGAGACTCCTTTGGAAATAAGACCTGTGTTGAACTCAGACATGTCTACTCTGTTAGAAGAATGCACCTGCTGAACCCCACTAAATGTACGCTTCGTGGGGGCGGGGACATTGTTCTACTCCGTGGCGTGTCCTCTGCTCATAGGAGAAACCCCGATACCTCAGAGTTATTCGATACACACTTGTCCAAAGTGAATCGTTTGCTGGAATAAAATGAGTAAACTGGTGTGTTATTGTTCGAATCCTATTATATAAACATAGTCTCTGTCGCCATACCTTAAAATTATTTATGATCTTAATTTGAAAAGAAAGCTAGAGTAAGAGAAACCCAAATTCTTTTGAGAGGATTAGAAGAGTTTGTAAAGAGAATAAAGAGGGTCAGGAATCAGAAGGGGTCCATGGATGATACTAGTTTTTATTTTTTTTAGTCAGATTTATGAGATAGGAGGAACAGGTAGGGAAGTCAGATGCATTTCAAGGAGCAAGCTGAAACATTCGCAACTACTGCGCCGAGCCCAGCCATTTCGGTCGCAGAGTGACGCGGACGCCACCTGGCGGAACCCGTTCCGGGCAGCACGGGTAGGACGGGCTGTGGTCTGGCTGCAGAGCCAGCGAGGGGAGCAGCCCAGAACTCCCGGACAGAGGCTCTGGGATGCTGCGGTCACTCTCCGAGGAGAGTGTGCCTGTTCTTCTCGTAGCGGGATGGGAGGCAAAAGTCTGAGCATGAAAGGCACAGGACTCGGGACGCTGCTCAGGAAGAGCCAAGACTCCTGCAGCAGAGGGGGGAGGGGAGCCGGGCCGGGCCCGCCTGGGCGAGGCAGCCCCAGGCCCCACGCTGCTCGCTCCAGGGAGAGCCGTGTGCAGCGTGTGTGACAGCTGCCGAGGACAAACAGGATGGATGGGACCAAGAGGCGACTCAGCGGGGGAGAAAATACCTACGCAGAAGTCACAGCCCTGAGGAGGCGGAAACAAAGAAGACACGTGGCCACGGGTAGTCACCGTCAACTTTGATTCCATCATCAACTTTGTTCTTCCAAGCTGATGATGGAATCACTCCCATAAAGGGGAACTGAGGGAAAAAGGAGCAGGGTGGGGAGATATTGGTGGCTGAAGCAGAGGCCCTCCAAGGATCTTCAGATGAGAAGGAAAGACAGAACGCGAAGGTAAAGACAAAGGAGGGCTGTTAAAAATGCCGCCAGCTCCGGGCAGCAGTCCCTCTGTGGGACCCCACGCATCAGGCCGCTGAGCCTGTCTTCCCACCCTCCGTCAGTTCAGCCACTGGAGAGGAGGGGTCTTGAGGCTGAGACACACACTTCGGTTCGCCTTTGGCTCCTTCCACCCTCTTCTTGCTGCCAGAGGTTGCAAGGAGTTACCCCATCACATTAGCCCCCTGAACTGCCTTAAATATCCAGATAACGCTGGTTACATTCATTTCCTAGAGTGGGAAATGCATTTCAAGGAGAAGATTAGGAGAGAAGAATCAGCTTTTCCCACAATTCAGGACATTGTGGTCCTTGAAACATGAAAATTGTGCCCTTTGAAGGAAAAGTCTGGAAGAATAATACAATGTTCAGTGCATTTGGCAAAGTTTCTGTTCTGAGAGGCTCCCGACTTGTTACTGCTCTTTTTAAAAAAAAATATTGAAAAAGAAATGAAAATAGTGTACGTTTTTGTAAGAAAAAGAAAGGACATGTATTTATCGATGAAGAAAATGCTACAGGAGAAAACTTCTCCATTGTGGAAAAGTTAACAAAGAGATTGAGGCCATTTTCTTTTTGTTGTTGTTGATTGTTTGGTTTTGGTTTTCGTTTTGGTTTTGTATCCATGTGAAAAATTAGAAAACTCTCATGAACAGGAAAGGTGCCTCGGCTTATTGTAACACAAGATACTTCCCACTCATTGCATGCACTTTCACTTCTTGTCCAGAGCGAGCTTCTTAGCCAGGGGTGCTGCCCCCTGTCCACCCTCTCCCCCCCAAGCGCAGGCTGTGCTGACGCCCTGCCGCCCTGTTCTCTCTGCAGGGAGGCCCATGACAGTTGCTCCGCGAGCGTGAGCGGCGCCGGCAGCGACGCGCGGGACTGATGAGGGCCCGCAGGGAATGAAGTATGGATGTGAAAGAGCGTAGGCCCTACTGCTCCCTCACCAAGAGCAGGCGGGAGAAGGAGCGGCGGCACACCAACTCCTCCGCGGACAACGAGGAGTGCAGGGTGCCCACGCAGAAGTCCTACAGCTCCAGCGAGACGCTGAAAGCCTTTGATCACGATTCCTCCAGGCTGCTCTACGGGAACAGAGTCAAGGACCTGGTTCACCGCGAGGCGGATGAGTACAGCAGGCAAGGTAGGTCCCTGTCTGGGAAAGCAAGGCTTGCTCAGAAAAGGTGCAGCTCTTACAGTTTTCCCCCTCAACGGGGCATGATTATTTTCCTGGGTTGATGCCCTGCCCTCTGGCTCCGATTCGGAGACGAAGTGATCGTTTATTATTCCACATTAGAGGCAGAGAATCACGTGCAGGCACAACGAACCTGAATTCAGGTGCCTCAGCTCTGCATTCTAGATACGAGGTCTGTGACTCGGTGCGTGGGCCAAGTGCGTGTGTGTGTGAGCTCGAGACCAGGCCTCCAGGGTTTCTCACGGTCGTGCGAGGGTGCTCACAAACGTGGTTTTTACCGTTAGAACTGGTGCAGGGAGAACAGGAGCTGTCAGTGCGTAAGAACCAGGAATTCTTCCTCAGGATCACCCAGTGATCCGTCCTGCCCCGCTGCGGCGCAGCCCTGGGCACCTGTGTGTTCACACAAGAGCCTGCCTGGAGGGGTTCCACCTGCTGTCTCACCAGTTACCTGGCAACTTGAAGGTTATACCTCAACACACCCCAGTTTCCCACAGTAGAGCCCACGGTGGGCTGGCCAGTTGCATACATTTGTTGAACATTCTTACACTTCATTCTCTGCCTGCATATTCCACCAGCGACTTCTGTAACTTCACAGTCCTAAAGCCACTGCTTTCCATGCTCGGAGACAGTGGCTTATTTTAGATGAGACGTACATAGTTGTATTTGGTTTCTTCTAGTACAGTCTTGAGTTATGGGCAAGATTACTGCTAATAAAAACAAAGCCCCCTTCCCCTTGCACTGCAGTCAGTTTACAGAGAACGTAGCATCCCTTGGCTAATTCAATCAGGAAACGAAGGGAAATCAATCAAACTTCAAACATCAAGCATACGTTCATCCTTTTCCGATCGTCTTATAGACAGTGTAACCAACGTTTTGATATTGGGCAGGAACAAATTTAGGAAAAGGGAATAATGCAATAACTCATTCAAAAGTTTGAAAATTTTCCATGGTTCTTGTCTTCCCTGCATCGCGGCAACAGTGTGTGCTCACCTAAACCAGTTCACATCAAAGCAAACGCATTTCATTTGCTCAAGGGTGAATTTTTTCCTCCCCCAAAGCATGCCTCATTTCCAGGTATCACATTTTATGAAAGGAGGCAGCACAGCTTAAGATTTTTAATCCAGTTTTTTAAGGGAAGATATAGAACACCTGTTTGAGATGTGTGATCTTGTCGAATGGACTTTATTTTATTGGGTATAATTCTAAACCCGTTTTTTTTTATTTCATATCATCTATACATCAGGGTATACTTTTCACCGATTTAAAACACAGTGAGTTGTTGTAGAAATGCATGCAATCTGAACTCAGTGTAAAGTCTTGTGTTTTGTAACAAAACAACTGCTTAGTGCCCTGTTGGGAACAAACCACATAGTGGGAGACTATCAGAAGAAAAAAAGCACATGAGGGGCGATGCACTGGGGAGGTGCATCTGCACCCCAAGCAAGCAAGCAAGCATTCAGTCTGGCAGAGTAGAACACATTTAGACAGGTTAAGACTGAGCTGAAGTTTGCACCAGGGCAGAGATGGCTGTGGACGGCGGCATGGCCATTCCGTCTGTGGAAACCCCAGAACTTAGCTCTTAGGGGACCAGACAGTACTGTCGCTCAGCTCCTTGAGAATGAAAAGGGGTGGGGAAGACAGACAGCAAGGCACCTGGTAGGTAGGGGTGGGGGCCCTCTTGTCAGGAGCAGCTGAATGGAGTCCTGGGAAGAGGTTTAAGAGCAGAGGTCAAAGGCAAAACCACAGTTCACTGGACATGTCCATAAGTCAGAACGTATTGAACACCGACATGGAATGCGCTGCTATTGGTAAGCAGCGTGCACCAGTTTCTCACTGCACCCCAGGCGGTGGGCTGACAAGCAGGTATATGTGCTGTCATTTAACCCACACGGGCACCTTCTGAAGAAGGTCCCAACAGCATCCTCCTGTCACGGATGGAGACGGCTCAGGCTCGCAGAGGCCCAAGGCCCCGGGACAGAGCGGGGACTTGAACCCAGGCCCTCTGTCTCTAGCACTCAGGCTTCTGCCCTCGGTGCCGGTGCCAAAGCAGAACACAGGCATCTCCGTCACACAGCTGCCCTGTGGCTGGTCGGGGTCTGTTCCAGCCGACTCTGACGGTGCAGACAGAGAGGAGTGAGGGCGCTGGAGGCGGGTTTAGGAAATGAGGTGGATAGGGTGCTGTGGGTGGGTCGGTGAGGACGAGGGAGAGGGCAGTGGGGCCGCACTTTCTCTCCCCCGCGGTTTGACTCGGGCCTGGCTGCAGCCGGAGCGGCGGAAGGGGAGTCCGCTCGCAGCGCGTGCTTTCCCCGAGCAAGCGGGATGAAAAGTCCTCCTAGGCTTTCATTTGCTTTGAACCTGACAAATGCCAATTTTTCCTGCCTGACTGTTATGCTGTGGGATTAATTATTTAATTGACAAAATGTGCTTCCTGCCACCGCTCCTGACATCATACACATAATAAAAATGAAAGATTAAAAATGTTAATAGTAGCCAAAGACCTTTGAAACAGGTCCAAGGAATCATGCTAATTTGGCTCGTCCATGGAGTTTTAAAACAACCTGCCAGTCCTAAATCCACTTATTCTCTGAGTGACACGGGGAAATGCGGCTGCAGCTCCCGGGAGGGAGGGGGAGAGCGCCCTGTTAATGCAGGGGCATGAATTCAGATCCAGAAATGTGGTGTTTGTACTTCTCTTGACCAGCTTTATGGCCTGCTGTCCACTTGATGCTAATCATCATTTGTATGGCGTTCCTGACTGTGTCATCTCTGGGCTCTGTGACACGAGGCAGGATCCCGTTTTCCCAGGAACGGGAAACTGGACTGGGTCTCACACGGATCTCTTTCTCTTTAAATCTCTTCCTATGGTTTATTGGGTGATGGAAACAGTTCCTCTCTCAGCAGCTGTGACACTTGGTAGGTGTGACGGGGCTAGGGTGACAATGGCTGGTTTTGCGTTCTTGGATACTGTTTTCTTTGAGTCATCCTTGAAGAGAGTTTACCCTGTCAGCTCTGAGACGCATTTCTTACGAAACAGCTGCACGCGATCGCCCCACAGTTCTAGAGAAATGATAAAATACAATACCTCCTCCTCCGGCCTGTGCACCATGGCGTCGCCTGCAGTGTTTTCGACCAAATGAGAATGTTTGTCAACTCTAACAAGGAGTGCGGGCTGTGAGGGTGAATTTGGGAGCAAGGGTGAATTTGGGAGCAAGGTGACATCTAGGAATAAGAACTCTTTTGTCCCACAGACTGTAAGCCTGAACAGAGCACCTCAGAGCTGGTGCCAACCCAAAATGTGGTTACCAGTTAGTAATCAGGGCCAGGGTTATGAATGTCAGGATTTTAAAATGAAAAGACCATCATTTATTCTTCATTTAGAGAATGGCAGTGGAGAGGAAGGTTATTTGTTTCTAAATTTAAAAACAAGCCTGGCTGGCGTAGCCCAGTGGATTGAGCGCGGGCTTCGAACCAAAGTGTCACAGGTTCGATTCCCAGTCAGGGCACATGCCTGGGTTGCAGGCCACGGCCCCCAGCAACCACACATTGATGTTTCTCTCTCTCTCTCTTTCTCCCTCCCTTCCCTCTCTAAAAAATAAATAAATAAAATCTTTAAAAAGAAAACAAAGAGCATTATATTACAGTTATTCATCTCTGAAATAAAAATAGAAGACGAATTAGCAAAGTAGGGCAGGAAAGAAGGAGGGCAGATGGGCAGAGACAGGCGCTCCCTGACCTCCGAGCAGGGCCAGCCTGCGGTCTTCCCCGGCGGCGTGCAGCCAGAAACTCCCTCCCTCCGGTCTTCCCCGGCGGTGTGCCGCCAGAAACTCCCCTCCTGCCTCGCAGCTGCTTTGGGATCTGCCTCCTCTTCCTGGGTGCCAGCCTCCCCCAGCTACACACGTGGCTTCTGCTCCTCGCCTCACGCCGTGGCTGGTCCAAGGCCAGTCCCAATGCAACACGATTGTGGGAAAGCAAACCCTCAAGCCCCGATCTCTCACGGTCGCCGCTCCTCAGGGGCTGCATCCTGGCTCCGGTCCGTCTCCCATGCAAGTGTTTCCGGTGCGAGACCTCCCCCTTGCCAAGGATAACCCCCTTCTGGGGACCAAAGGGCACTGGAGGATCAGTCTGCATGTTCCTGTGCTCATGTCCAGGGTTCCGGCACGACGGTGGCCTGAAGGATGCCCTACACACCCATCCCCCTGCCGAAGGCGTGCCTCCTCTGAGCTGAGCAGCGACCAGGGGTGCAGATGAGATCTAGGGTCCAGGGTGGGAGGCGGGCATGGTTGGGGTAGCGGGGCATGAGGGCGGAGGAAATGGAGACAACCGTACTTGAACGACAATTGTAAAAAGTTAATAAAATCGAGGAAATAAGCACACACACACAAGGAGCTCTGTTAGGGTGCTGAAGGACAAAGGCAACGTAGGGCCTTTTTCCCAGACGGGGGCTCTGAAGCGGGAGGAAGCACAGGGTGAGGACTGGAAAGAGCGCTGTGGCTTGGTGGTGCCAGAGAGACACGGACCTGCCCTCCCCGTGGGCCCTCCTGCAGCCCGTGCTGCCCTGCAGGAGCAGCTGGCCTCCTGGCCCCTCGGGAGCCTGGGGAACCTACCCAGGTGCACTTCCGACACTCCGAGATTGTGACAGTGCCAGCTGAGGACACTGGGGAGTCGAAAGGCCTGTCCCTAGAGTCTCACAGGATTTCCTACAGTTTCCTAGGGCACCGGGAAGGCAGCAACCTGCTTCCTGGCACCCAGCATCCAGGAACGGGGTAGAAGCAGACAGGGAAGTACCTGTTGGAAGTGAGCAATGGAGATGAGAGATGAAAACTCGAACCCAAATAAAAATTATATGAGTACTTACAGAAAAGTACATGCCCAAAAGATAAAAAAAACAGCAACAACAAAACCAACTGTAGTGGCTAAATGCTCTTTACAGGATTCCAGAAAGAAAGAAA